ATAAGTAATCATTTTACTGTCTGTTACATGGATGTTTTATAGAGACATAGGGCTCCTGTTTCTATATATTGTGAAAATGAAAAATTCTTAAATATATAAAATGTGTTTACATTAGAGAAATAATTATTTTGTGGATTTTAGGGACTTGGAATTATTTTGGGAAAGTTATAATTAGACTCATTTAACTATTTCAATAAAGGGCACCTGTGAAAGCTTTTAAGACACCATCAACATTACTAATTCATAGTTGCAGTGTGACCTAAGTTTAGATGATAGGTTTGAGTCAGAAATATAATTAGCAGAACCTTTCAACCTACAGTCCCATGACTTTGTGGGAGTTTCTTGGCATTACCAAATCTGAAAGTCTTCTTAGAGTTTATAAATTGAGTGTTTATGAGTTCAAACAGTCTGCTTTAGATCCTGTGATGTGGTCATCCCTAAACACAGTAAGAGCACCTGTCTAAGCAGCCTTTTGAAAGACAATTCCTAGCAAAAGCCACTCTGTCATAGGATACTGCTACTATACCCGTGTCTGTGCCTTCAAAGAGTCTTTTAAGGAGCAGCTACTTTTTAAGAAGTCCACAGACAGTATAGCTTAACTCAGAGGGGTCTTTTCAAGCTGGCAGGATACCAGATTCTCAACATGGCTTCCTTTCTAAACCCTAAATTAACATTCCAGACTTAAACTGTTTTTAAAAGAAATATACTATAGTTTTGAATGAATCTAAAACCTAGTTTTTGTGATTTTAATTACCTTATCTTTCCATTTATAAAATAACTTATTTTCGTTGTCTCATTTGAGTCTCTTAATCATACTGTTTATAGCCATTTAAGGAATTTAATGTCCTTTCCATTGTGAGCTCCTTAAAATAAGAAACTGTCTCATTCACCTTTGCTGCTCTAGCATCCAGCACTATAGGGATGTGCATTAAAAATTTTGATGAGGCAGCGCCCATAGCTGAGTGGGTAGGGTGCTGGCCACATACACCAAGGCTCACAGTTCAGACCTAGCCCAGGCCAGCTAAAACAACAATGATAACTGCAACAACAAAATCAAGAAAACAATAGCTATGCATTGTGGCAGGCACCTGTAGTCCCAGCTACTTGGGAGACTGAGGCAAGAAAATTGCCTAAGCCCAAGAGTTTTGAGGTTGTTGTAAGCTGTGACACCATGGCACTCTACCAAGGGCGACTCTGTCTAAAAAAAAAAAAAAATTTTTTTTTTTTTTTGGGGGGTGAATGATTGAGCTGAATGACTTCCCATTGTTGCAGAACTAATACATAATATGCCTTGAACTCAAATCCAGGTCTTCTTGCCATAGTCCTGAAGACTTAAATCTACATGGATTTTTGTAATACAGTCACAAGGAATATATATGCACCTGAAATGTTGTCTGCAAGGATGTGCTCACTGAGCTTAATCTAAGATTGGTGAGATTTGGATAATAAAAGGAGGGAAACCAGAAGTGATGGCTTGAGCTTGTGGTCTCAGCAACTCAGGAGCCCGAGCCAGAAGAATCATTTGAGGCCAGGAGTTAAGTCCAGCCTGGACAACATAGTAAGACACCATCTCTACAAGAAAAAATAGCCGGGCATGGTAGCCTGCAACCGTAGTCCTAGCTACTCTGGAGGCTGATGCAGGAGGATCATTTGAGCTTAGGTATTCCATGCCACTGCACTCCAGTCTGGGCAACAGGGTGAGGTTTTGTCTCTTTTTAAAAAACAAAAAGGGTGGGTGGTGCCCGTAGCACAGTGGTTATGGCACTGGCCACATGCACCGAGGGTTGACCCGGCCT